AGACTTCGCTTTTCTAAATATCTGTGTCAAATTTAATGGTGATCCTTCGGGGTCCTACACACATGAGTGTGGGAGGGTTTCACAATGTCATTTCCCATATTATAAATATCATATATTTATATTTAAATTATGACTATATATTTGTTTTTATACTATTACATATAATATATATATATTTTTATTTTATATAATATAATATATTACATAATATAAAATATAATATATTTTTTTGTATAATATATTTTATGTATGTAATAGATATTTACAATACAATTTTTTTTTTTTTTTGAGAGAAAGTTCAAAAATATTATTAATCTAGAACGAGATTACATAATCCAAAATAATAGCTTTAGAGAGGGTAGAACGTCTTTTGGCCAAGGAATCAGCGAGTAAATTAGCCTCCCTATACACATGAACAAAATAGACAGAAAAAGAAGAGGTGAGATCCAAAATATGAAATAACAAAGATTTCAACTCCCAAAGAAGTTTATGATCCCCTTTGCACTATTTCGAAACATTGAGGGAATCCCCTTCAATAATATAAGAAGTCCCCAAATTCCTCTCCACAAGGGAACAAATGCCAAAGAGAAGGGCAAAGATCTCTGTATAATTTGCAGTCCGCACCCCAAGTTGCCCTGTATTGGAGAATATCACATTACCCATCCAATCCCAAAGAACCCCTCTAAAACCAGCAAGACCCGGGTTACCCAATGAGCTACCATCAAAGTTGAACTTATAAATTCCCAAAGCTACGACCATCTACCTACTACACTTTTGGAAACCCAAATGGAAAAGGTTAAAAAGATTACATCTCACATCCACTTCAAAAATATTATGTGCACAACTTGTAACAGAGAGGTACAACTAGATGGAATACAATATTTTCTCCAAAACTTTTCCAACGGACAAAGATATACCTTCAAATATTTATCTATTTCTCTCTCTCCAAATCTCCCACATAATGACACGTCTAGAAGTTTGCTATACAACACTCCCAGTCTTTAGTAAAGTAACTGAAAGGTTATGAATAACCCCAATCACCGACAGTGACATTACCAATACAACCACAAGCTTGTCAAAAAACTACATCCAAATGCGACTGGCAAACAGACAATAGAGAAAGAGATAATCACCAGTCTCTCCGTCTTCCTTACACATGAGATATATATTCAATAAAATTTTCTCTCTCTTAATCAGATTATCAACTGTGAGAATTATGTTTTGAACCGCCAACTAAAAAAAACCTTGCACTTTGAGAGGTAGGGGTCATTTCCACAAGATAGCGATTTCAGGTATCGACCATCGCACCCTATCATGGTAGAGTAAATGATACATATATTTAACTAAATAAATCCCATTTACAATACAATATAATATATATTGTTTTATGTCTAATATAAAAATATTATTTAATATATAATATTTTAATAATATTTAATATATAATATTTAAATAATAATTAAATAATAATTAAATAAACATCACTTTACACTTCAATAGATTGTCAAACACACGTACTTATAACTTCTTTTACATTCCAACAAGTTAACAAACATATACACTAAGAACTTTCTTAAAATAAATTTGAAGAACTTCTAATTTCCAGCCTTCAAGTTATCAAACACGCTGTAAATCGCCTATTATTTTGTGTGCTTCCATATTTTAGGGCAGAGAATTTGATGACACAACAGTAAGTCTCAATCTTTTTATTGCAAAAGTATTATTTTCAAAGCACAATTTCCCACTTCTAGAGGAAGAGAGAAAAGGAGGAGAGAGAGTATGGTAGGGCTCTTTTGAGCGTTTAGTCCTTTTTAGGTGGTAATGATTTTTTTTTTCTCTTCTAGAAGAGAAAAAAACGGAAATATTCTCTTCTCTCTATACAACTCCCCTTCCCCAAATAAACGTAACTCTAATTCTTCCCTTCCCTTCCTTTATGGCATTCGCTTGACGTTTTTCCGTCTGCAGTAAGTCATGTGATCGAATCTGAAAACCTTTTTTTAGTAAAGGGGCTGAGTCTCTCATAACCTTCTTTTTTTTTTTTAAGGAAAGTGGCTCGGTCGTGGCGGCGTCATCCTCACACCTACTTATCACATTCCGATTTTTATTCATTTCGATTTTTATTCCTATCACTAACAGCGTTGGTTAACACCTTCAAAAATCTAATTTTTAATTTTTTAAAAAAATAAGTAGGGTCGCTTTCCCCCACAGAATTACAAAAAATAAATAAATAAATTAAGATATATTAGAAAACCAATAATTATTTACACCAAAAAATAAAATAAAAAATAAGTGGTAATTAGGAGGGCTTACCCTCTTTCACTTGCTAACAAAATGGAAAGCAAAACCAAGGAGTAGAATAGAAGAAAAAGGATTTTAAAAAATAAAAATAAAAAATTGATACCTTGAAATGTAGAATTAAGGTGCACCTGTAAAAATCCTTTTAAAAATATTGTTTTGATGTTAAAAACATATCTAATTGATCGTCTTGAAACGTGTAGATGTAGAGAACAAAAAGATATTTTAAGTCTTAAAAATAGTATATCTTGCAACACATTATCTTGAATGTTCATTTTCAAGATTTTCATATATTTGTATATCTATTTGATTTGAACCATTTTTTAAATTGTAATTTAATAATTATAAATAAAAGGAGATTCTCGTACCATCTTTTGAAAAATATTTTGATAAGACTACAACCTTATTAAAATAAATAAAACCTTACCTCATAATTTATTACTAAATTACAATTCAAGCATTTGAATGCTTTCACATGGACCATCTCAACTTGACTATTATTGTTGTGAGAAAATTAAGATTTCAAGATCCAAATATAATGAGTATTGCAACAAATCAGACTATCCATTTCACCCTAAAAAGGAGTGTTGATATATCTGCAAGATCTTTATCATTTTTTTATTTGTAATTTTATTATTGATGATAGAAATTAGTGTTAAAGGCCATCATGGAGATTTCCTTTGGCGGGAGTGGTTTTTGGACGAAGATTCGAGGTAAGGCTTTATTTGTTTCGTTAGAGCAAACTTTTGTTGACATCAAAATTACAGCTCATAGACAAAGTTTTGACCGTTCACATTATTTTTATTATTTAAGTTTGCAACCTAATCAGATGGTTGAAAAAAAATAAAAAAATAAAATAAAAATAGCGAGGGTGAAAGAGGGAGGGGGGAGAAACAACAGTGACGATGTGAGAATCGTCCGTAAATAACGTAACACGAGTGGTACGGATAACTATTTCCTAGCAAGTGCCGCAAACGTGTGGAGCCCCCTCTCTCTCTCTCTCTCTCTACGTGTTTGACTTGCGGTCACCGACATTTCAGGTTACTTCCCCCTGTCTTTCTCTCTCTAGCTTTTGCAGTCTCTCTCTCTCCCTCTATTGGTGGATTTTCAGTCGCCATCTTCCTGGCCTCACTTCACTTTCTCTCTCTAGTTTTGAAACCTCTCTCTCCTTCCTTCTATTAGTGGGTTATTTATCTCCTCTTCTCTCTGTAAAATTCCAATTCATGGACCCATTATCGCTTCGTGGTGTCCTCTTCTCGCTCTAAAATTCCAATTCATGGGTCAATTACCACGGCAAAGTATCGCTTAACTTCCTTCGTCTTTGTCTAAATGTAACTCATCTCTCTCTAACTTTACATTGATTTTGATGGATTTCACCGTCGTTAATACCCACGCTCAATAAAAAAGGAAACCCGACTGTGAAATGCTTTGATCGCCTTTTAGCGAGTACCCATCTTTCTCTCTTTCTGCAACTCTTTTGAGTGTGATGGGGAATTGCTTTGATAGTCCTGTAAAGGCCGCTTTAAGCAGCCCATCAACGACCAGATCAATAAGCCCAGGTTCCATTTTGATTCGTTCCTCTCAATTTTTCTCAAAATTTGAGCTTTTTAGCTGCACATTAATGGCTCTTTTTCATTGTTAACTTCTTGCGACCAAGCTCTTTTACGTGAGAATCCTCTTGGTTTTCTCTTGTTTTTGTTTCTCTTAATGAAAAGTTTCTCTCTTGTGTGAGATTTTTTATGGAGTCAACGGAATCTCCACAAACTTTGATGGGCTTTTTCTCTACATGATAAACACAGTTCTATTGCAAAAAGACTCTTTCAATCAAGCCTCCTTTGTATGTCAGTTTTTCTCATCAGAACATCTTGGTGCCTCTTTGCACATAAAATTCATTTCCTTTGCAACAGAACACTTTTATCATCTCGGTCAGTTTTATTCTTTGACCAAAAGTTCTTACGCTGTAAACTTTTTCCCCAAAATTTGAAAACCTCGACTAATTTTTATTTGGTTTTCTTCGAAAATGGATTTCAGGGGGTCCAAGAAGCAACAACAGCAAGGAGGGGCGGATTTCCGGCGAAAAAAAGAGGTTCTCCATTGAAAAAGATTCACTTTCCGGTGATAGAGATGGACTTTCATGTGAAAAAGAATGGTTTTCTGGCGAAAAAGAGCTTTTGTCATGTGAAAAATCAGAGGATGATGCATTTCCCAATGGTCGAATCCTTGACAACCCTAATCTCAAGACATACACCTATGCAGAGCTCAAAACTGCCACAAAGAATTTCAAGCCTGACACTATTCTTGGAGAAGGCGGTTTTGGAAGGGTCTTCAAAGGTTGGGTTGATGAGAAAACTTTGGCCCCTGCAAAATCAGGTTTAGGCATGATTGTTGCTGTAAAAAAATTGAATTCAGAGAGTATGCAGGGTCTTAAAGAATGGCAGGTGAGAGATTATTGCCCCATCAATTCTTCTATTTTAATTATTTCTCGAATTTTTACTATTCTTTGAGGAACTTTCAGTGGATGATTGGTATTGATTTTAGCATTAAAAGGGTTGTAACTTATTTATTGATGGAAGGTTTATTGGTGCCCTGGTACTTGTTTTTGTAGATTTGGGTTGACTTTCATTAAAAATGAGAAGAGTTGGGTATGCATTGCTGTTTTTCTTACAATGGGAGTTTGATGTGATAATTAACAGTGTGAAGTGAACCATTTGGGGAGGCTTTCTCATCCCAATCTTGTCAAGCTCTTGGGCTATTGCTGGGAGGAGAAGGAGCTCCTTCTGGTCTATGAATTCATGCCAAAGGGGAGTCTTGAAAATCACCTCTTCAGAAGTAAGAGCTCTCTCTCTATGTACATGTGTTATATTGGGCTCTGGGGATTTCTTTTCTCTCTCTCTGTTAGGCTCTTATGTACATATGTTGTATTGGACTGAGTATTTATTTTGTGATCTCTCTCTCTGAGTGATCATATGCTCCGCAGGCTATGTATAAATGCTCCATCGAACTGTTCAGACTTTTTCTTGGTAATCGCTGTTTAAAGGCTTTGTTTAAACATTTCGTTTTAGGTGTTCTCTTGAAAGCCACTCTCTCAAAGTCATTAGTAGTAAACTCCCCTTGTTCTCTATGTGCGATCCATAGGCTCTGCAGATCATGTATAGTATTTTTTTTCTTTCTATGTAATATGTATTACATATTTATGTTCAGGGTAATCACAATTACATATATGTATTGCCTATTTTAGTTGTCTTCACCTTGACAACACTCTCTCTGTCTCTCTCTCATGTATGTGTGTGATCAATATGGTGATAAACAATTGCAAGCCTATTTTAGGTAGTTGACTATGAGAAACCTTACTCTATTAATTTCTATAGTTCATTCAGAATTTCATGAGAAGATTATACACCAAAAATTGCTCAAAATAAAACTTGCGAATTCGGTCAGGTGTGTGACAGAGCTTATGTTTCCTTCCCGTCCGGTTTATTATTCTAACAAAGCTAATATCATCAGATGCTTCACAGTTGAAAACTTCTGTTTCCTTTTTCACAGACAAGAGAAATAAATGAATGTGGAAAATTTATGCTTGATTGTTTGTAGGGGGATCCTCAAATGAGCCTCTGACTTGGAGTCTTCGGCTAAAGATAGCCATAGGCGCTGCTAAGGGTCTCACTTTCCTTCACAATTTGGAGAAACATATTATTTATCGTGACTTTAAGGCAGCTAACATTCTGCTTGATTCGGTATGGATACCCATGCCATGTTATTTGTACGTTTATGTATCTATGCACATATAGACGCAGGCATGCATACATGCGCATGCGGTGGAGGGATGCATTACATGCTCTTATTTTTATGTATGAATGTGTATGTGTACTGTGTGCTGATGTGTACCTATGTATGTGTAACTGTGTTTGAATGAGTGAATGTGCGTTATGTATGTATCTTTGTGTGTATGTGTGTCCTTGCATGTATCAGTTAGCATATTTCCTGGTTCATATTCTCATTTCTCTTTTCGACAGAACTATAATGCAAAAATTTCAGATTTTGGATTGGCGAAATTTGGGCCATTAGGGGATGATTCCCATGTCACAACGAGGGTCATGGGCACCCATGGCTATGCTGCCCCTGAATATGTAGCCACAGGTAAGATCCAAGAAAGCTTGATTTCTCTTACTTGATTCTTAGACCATCGGTCTTCATAAAACTTAGTCATCTAATTATATCAATAAGAGAATTAATTATGTGCTCCTAATTACCCACCCATAGAAATTTCTTTCTTTTTGTTTTATGTACATCTATTATGAGAATTTCATCTTAGTTTTTCTTCGTAATGGACTGATCCCCTCAGGCCATCTATATGTGAAGAGCGACGTGTACACCTTTGGTGTTGTCCTTCTTGAGATTTTAACAGGGCTACGAGCCCTCGACTTGAACAGACCAACTTCGCAAATCAATCTTGTAGATTGGGCTAAGCCATTGCTAGGAGACAGAAGAAAGTTAGAAGTGCTTATGGACATAAGGCTTGATAATCAATACCCAATCAAGGGTGCTTTAGAGACGTGCAAACTCTCACTGAAATGCTTGACTCCTGAACCTCGCAAAAGACCACACATGAAAGAGGTCTTGGAGGAATTGCAGAGAATCGCCGCTATAAAGGAGAAACCGAAGGAGAGTAAACGGGCTGATAAGGCTCGTTCGGCCGCACACCCACAAACCTACATGGGCCACCGATCACCGATAAATCCTAGGCTCGATGGCTTCCCGTTGAATGGTCAGCATCATGCTAGATAGCCAAAGTCTCATTGAACTCCTTTTGAATTTGACATTTGAAGTAGTTCACTGTTTTGGTCATGTGATATTGTTTATAAGAGAATTCCACATTAGTCTTACCTGAAGCTGTTGGGCTCAAGAGCAATGAATTTCTTTATTGTGTCCCTTTTTTCCTAGAAATTGCAGGAACAACTTTTTGGATTACCCTTTTGGGGGTGCAAACATTGAATTGTTGTAATTATGCATAATTGCTGGTTGACATTCCACTTGTCTATTCTCTTCTCTTTCACTGAAATAGTCACACACATCAGTTTTATCATTATTATGTATTATTAGGAGAGCTTTATGAAGCCCTTGTTTCTATACAATGGATGTTACCTTTCTTTTTGTTCTTGTGAACAAAATGTGGCATTTGAAGATTAGGAGAGCTTTATGAAGCCCTTGTTTCTGAACAATGGATGTGTTACTTTCTTTTTGTTATTATGAACAAAGGAGTTAAAATGTGGCATTTAAAGCCTATAATTAAATGTTTCAAACTTTGAATAAGTGAGGGCATTTTAATAATTTGACTCATTTGAGAGAACAATGTGCTCCCTAGATTAATGTTGCTAACCCTGTAAATAAATTCAATATGTTTAGGAGGCTAGTTTGATGCCAAATGTACACTTGATTTGGGAGCTCTATAAAGGCACGCTTGCTTCGTGTGAAAATATTTTTAGAAAAATATTTTCTATGTAAAAGAATTCCTTTTTAGAAAAATATTTTTATGTAAATTTTTTTTTCATGTGGTTAGGTGTAAAAATATTTTCGCACCAATTTTTTCACACCAATCGATGTGATAATATTCTCACATCTAACCACATGAAGAAAATTTTTCACATGAAACGCAAATCAAATATACCTTAAATGAAACAAAAATTTGAAGAAATTAGATGTCACAAATTTTCAAATGAATAAGTGTTCAAATAGTTGGTGGTTTGGCTTAGAACCGCATGAGTATAGCTGGATATGGTAGTACTCGATCAGATTTTCACCCCAAATCAAGACTAGGCCTGTTACACCAATAAATCATATTGAAAAGACGCTTTATTTCTATTTTTTAAAATATGGAACTATTGCCTATAGAATGAAGTTTCCAAACCTTGTTTACATTCTCTCTTCTTCTTTTTCTTTTTTTTTTAAATATCTGACATTTTTAGAAACGCAAAATGAGCACAATACATGTATTCCACTAAAGGATATGGTTTGTATAAGGCCGAGGCCCTAAACAATCAAAGTAAAGCGTGCCTTCAAATGGTGACAAAGATGTCATTTAATATCGAAAATCTTTATGATGGATTGAAATTTTATTTTAATCTCTAATTATGAAATTTTTAGCTCAAAACATAGCATATAACAAGCAGATCTATGAATATTTTAAAATCTTGAAAACTGACGGTCTAGAGATAATGCATTACAAAATGCATTATAATGTGACAATTTACCTTTCGTGCATTACAAAATGCATTATAATGAGACAATTTACCTTTCGTGTAAGGTGGTCATAATTAATGTTAACCATTGGATGTGAAATTGGGTGGCTGTATTTATTTCATTGACCAAGCTCAAAGTTCAAAATAAATTTTTTCGAACTTTATGATACATTTAAGCTACCAAATCTCACATCATATGGTTATAAATAATTGTGACCTTCTTGTATCAAAAGTAAATAATATCATTATATACAACTTTTTTATTATATGTCTATGTATCTCAAGGTCAAAATGATCAGATTTGAGGTTTTTTTCAGCACAAGAACAACTTTTTTTTTTCTATTAATTTTTTGAGGTGTGGCTTAATTTGATTGTTTAGGGCCTCAACCTTACATGAAGTATTTCCTTTAGTAAGAGGAAGTACCAAATAGAAAGAACTTACACATTAATTACTTTTCTTGTAAAAGTTATTTATTTAACCATCTCATTGATTTCGTGATATTATCGTAAAAATGCAAAGAGACCGTCAAATTTTCAGTCAAAAAGTAAGCGTTTAGGAACTAGAAAACCAATTTTGTGTTTCTAAAATTCATGCGGTGAATCTAAAGTTTAACGACGGGAACAAGAATATTTATAATAAAACGAGGTATCCAATGAAAGGATATTCGAACCTTCGTAACTTTGCTCGTTAAATTATTTATTTAACTATCTCACTTATTTCTTGAGGTGCTTTTAACTATGTACTTTTGTTTTGTACATTTGAGTATTTAGACACTTAACATGTTTATCTTTTGAAAAGCAGTTTTACTTTATTCAGAGTAATTTATTACAAGTCACATTTTTAATTTAAAATAAAAAACAATACTACATAATCGAATTATATAATATAATAAAATATACATATGTTAGGGTGCTCACACTACAGAGTTATTTATCATTGTAATCAACAAATTTTGTACACTTATATACTATTGTTTTGTACATCGAGCATTTTTTAAATAGTGCGGTTTCTATAAGTTTGCAAGTTTGAATAATCCAATTAAGGTGCACCTCCAAATTTTATCATAAGATGTAATTTTGGTGAAAAAAAATTTTAGGATTACCTCAAACTCTATTTTCATATTTAATTATAAAATTTTAAACTCCAAAAATAGTTAAAGTCAAATAGATCTATAAACATATGAAAATCTTGAAAATGGACTGTCTAGAAAATGTATTGCAAGATGTGCTATTTCTGAGACTCAAACAAAAAAAAAAACTAAATATATATATATGTGGGAAAAGTTTATATAAGGTTAACCTTAAAATGTAGAACTACGGATGCACCTCAAAAATCCAACGGAAAAAAAGTTGTTTTAATATTGAAAAACTCTCTAATTGATCATCTTGATGTTAAAAGGTATGACTATGAAAAAACAAAGGGTTTTAAGTCCCAAAAATGATGCATCTTACAAAACATTATCTAGACCATCCATTTTCAAGATTTTCATATGTTTATATAACTACTTGATTTTAATCATTTTTTGAGTTTAAATTTTTATAATTAGATAAGAAAATAGATTTTGAGATAATCCTAAGAATATTTTTACATCAAAATTGTACGGTATGATAAAATTTGGAGGTGCGCCTTAAATGGATTGTTTAAGGTTGCAACCTTATGGAAACCACACCCTATATATATATAGGGAAAATTTTATATAGAGCCAAGGCTCCAAACAATCAAATTTGAGCATACCTCAAAAATTTCACTAGAATAAGTTGTTTTGATGCCCAAATATCCTCAAATTGATGAGCTCGACATCAAGATGCATGGATATGAGAAAAAAATGGATTTGAACTTTTGAAAATAGTATATTTTGTAATGCATTTTTTGACCGTTAATTTTCAAGATTTTCAAGTTTTCATAGATCTGTCGATCTATGCTATTTTTAAAAGCTTTAAACTTTATAAATAAAAATAAAAATGTATTTTAAGGCTATCATAAAAAATACTTTCTAAGTTATGTTTTCATTTTTTCTTTTTTTGTGATTGTTTATTAAAATGAAAAGAGTGTATCTATTAACATTTGGATCAAACAAATAACTACAACATAACGTTGCATGAAATCATTGCCCATATATATATATATATATAT